CTGGGAGCGTGCCGGGTCCCTCGGAGCCAAGAATCACACCCAAGATTATTATGTAAATTACGCCGTCCCTGAATTTCTCTTCGTAACGAGTGGAGGCGAGTAAGACGAGTGTTTCCGAACGCACTCGTCAGCTTTCTATGAATATTCAGCGGGGTTTAACGAGGTGGCTTAAATTGGGTATCATGCCGATGGACGTCTGTTGAGCAAAAAGGTAAATAAGAGGCAGAGTGTTGTCAGGATGTAAATAATTTGTTGAGCTGAATAGCAACTATGTAAAGACATGCAAATGTAGAATTTTATAATGTATTAAATTTCACACTCTTGTCCACTAGTGCATGTAAGAGTTATTGTGAATTTAGTGTCCCTTAATAAACTATACTCTGAAGTACAATAAAATTGCATTCCAATACACTCGTAATGCCACTTACGTAAACGCGTGCATAGACATAAACCGCCACAGTAAAACAATATAAAAACCTAAGGACACGAATAATTTCCACATACGCATTAGATTTCCTCATCTAGTAACAAACAGTGAATTGTTGCTGTGCCACTTGCGTCAGTTTTTTTGCGTTTGTCAAACATACAAATCCTTGCAAAAGTCCATTCTTCTGACTTCATTTCCCACATACACAAGCGCTTACTCACGCGCGGTCAAGCAAGCACAGGCAAGCAAACACGAACACAAACACACCCACATGTGTATGCATTATCCGTGGAAGCCCAGACAGTCCCTTCTCCTGCTTCCAGGTGTGGCTTCTCGCATGAGACTTAGCGATAAAGGACGAGTGAAACTTGTTCCTTGGAAGCTCGGGGGGAGGAAGGGGACGGAAGGGGAGAGACCGGGGGGAGGGGCGAGACCGGGGGGAGGGGCGAGACCGAGGGAAGGGGGGAGACAGGGGGGAGAGACGGGGGAAGGGGGAGAGACGAGGGGAAGGGGGGAGACCGGGGGAGGGTAGAGACTGGGGGAAGGGGAGAGACGGGGGGAAAGGGAGAGACAGGGGAGAAGGGATGGGGGAAGGGGAGAGAAGTCGAGAAGGGGAGAGAAGGGGGCGTTAGGGGGGAGAAGAAGAGGAAGGAAGGGAGGGGACGGGAGGGGGAGGGGTGCACCTGCAGAAGCTCACGTGCATGCTAGGGCGTTCGCGTTGCCGTGGATGTTGCTTGTTTCGCAGTTTGCTTGCGGAACTCGGTCGTCTTATGACATCACCAGGGTTGACACAAACAATTATTTTAGTTTCCAATTCAGCTAATACATTATTACCTTTTGTAAAGCAAGTAATTGTAATTTTAGCAAGAGTCAAGGTTATATTTGGTTACTTTAAGAATTCTGTGACATTGTACTTCTTTTAGTAGAGGAAAAAAACTTGCCAGAGCTCCGTACTTTCCCACAGTGCATAACCAGTGAACATAATTTTACGCAGATAAAGAACAAATATGTCGTTTTCGGGGACGGTCTTTGAAGGCCAAACATTGCGACTACGATGATTATGATAATTGTAATAGTGTGCGCGTAGCAGTGATAATGGTGATTGCGACAGTATCGGTGAAAATTATCATTAATGAAGTTGATTGACGGTTTTAAAGAGTCTGGTAAAGATGTGGAAAAGAAGTAAATTAACAGGTTGATTTTTGTTGTATTTTTCGATTTTTTTCATTTTATTTTTTCATTATTGTTATTTTTTTATTTATTTATTATTATTATTTTTTTTTTTTGCTTTTCTCTTGTTTTTCCAGACTTTATCATTAATTCTAAGGAGACTGAGGTTCATATTATAAAGAGACCAATTAAAAAATACTCTCTACTGTTTTCTCATTTCTTAACGACATTTATTAACCTGCCATACTGTCGTCTCCTTACAAATTCCCACAGATTTCTCATTTCTTGCTATTCTGCAAGTTTCTCTTTCGTATCAAAGGGACTGTTTTCCCCAAATTGCATGTCGCACATCTCTGATTCTATGCAGCAGATGTGTTGAAACGATCGACGCAATTTTTATAAGCGGCTGCTCCCGAATCTTGCCTCTTAGAGCAATGTAGGTCTAGCGTTGCGTGGGCGGCCACAGCGGTACGCCACGCCCGACTCTGCTGGCGTCTCTCACAATGGCGATGGCAAAACACCGGATGCAAAACCCCCTTTTCTCTGCCACTATTATTATGATCGTTTCAGTGTCGCGGCCCGGCCCGTCGCGCCGGCCGCTAAATAGGCGGGTCAGGGGGTAACAATGCCGGTCGCAGGTTTTACTTTCGGCTGTAAAGCATTTCGGTCAGGGAGGGGGTGGGGTGGGAAGGAAGGGGTGTGGGGTGGAAGGGAGGGGGTGGGTGAGGGTGATATTACTTTCGCTTCTAGGCGATTCGAGTTTTTTAGAACACGGGAGACTTTCGTTTTATATATATTGGAGCAGATGAGGTGATGTGGTGGTATGATATTGTGTCTAGGATATGGACGTGTATATATATATATATATATATATATATATATATATATATATATATATATATATATATATATATGTTTTATATATGCATATGTATGCATATATATGCATATATATGCATATATATGCATATATATGCATATATATATATATATATATATATATATATATATATATATATATATATATATATATATATATATGTATATATATATATATATATATATGTATATATATATATATATGTATATATATATATATATATATATATATATATATATATATATATATATATATATATATATATATATATATATGTTTTATATATGCATATATATATATATATATATATATATATATATATATATATATATATATATATATATATATATATATATATATATATATATATATATATATATATATATATATATATATATATATATATATATATATATATATATATATATATGTATATATGCATATGTATATATATGTGTGTGTGTGTGTGTGTGTGTGTGTGTGTGTGTGTGTGTGTGTGTGTGTGTGTGTGTGTGTGTGTGTGTGTGTGTGTGTGTGTGTGTGTGTGTGTATATTTATCTTTGTATCTATGTTTGTATAAATATATGTATATATGTGTGTGTGAGTATATATGTAGTATATGTATTTCATATAATGTATATATATTTATATATATATGTATATATATTTATATATATGTATATATATATACATATATATATATATATATATATATATATATATATATATATATATATATATATATACATATATATATATATATATACATATGTATACACACACATATATATTATATATATTAGATATACATCGGGTAAATCGTTTCATTAATTGGCTTTTATCTATTTCAGGTCTCCATTACTGAAGGCCCGAGCCAATAGCGTCACGAGTGACTACTTCAGTGATTCGGGAGAAGCATCTTTAGGACTCCCGTCGCTTATTCACGACCACGAGTTCATCCTAAATCTCGATCACGTGGACGAAGAGTCTTTGAGTTCGAGGACATCGAAAACGGAAAGCAGAGCAGCATCTAGGAACACGCTACGCTTCGAGTCGTCATCGGTAACACCTCCACCGGAGTATCCCCTAGAAGATGAGGATATCCGTTTTCTCTCTAGTGAGAACGGTGATGCTCGTTTTCTACGTTTGAGCGATACAGAGAGCGATCGTTTTCTCTCATCATCTGACAAAGAAAACTGCCATCGAGAAGAGAAATTGGAAGGCAGACTGAAGCAAAATTTTCTAGCCAATCAAAGTGCCAAAAAGGACTTCCTTAAACTAGTACCTGAGACTAGATTATTAACTGTGAAGTCTTTACGTGGATCTAACCTTTCTCTTGAACAGATTTCTCATTCTATCAAGAGCACAAGTCAAGTTAACAGCTCTGCACCGGAACTCTCTTGTTCCAAAACTCTTCTATCTTCAAACCTGGAACCTCAGTGTTCCGACCCCCAAGTTGGTGCCAAATTGTGCCGCGGTCTAGAACCAGCGGCGTCATGGCACCCGTCATATAACGCTTCGCCAGCACCTGTTATTTCAATTAAAGTTGACGAACCAGACACTGCAAATATGGAGAATGATAAAGGTACTTGAATATGCCTTAGTAGAATACTTTAGTATTTTGTTCACATATTCTTATAACTGTCACATATAAAAAATATGTTTTTTTTTCACTTCACACTTTCCCAGATATCCCCCTCCCTCTCTTTTTTCATATTTCCTATTATTTCTTCTTTCCTATCCCCATCCCTTTCCATTTCCCTTCCCCCATCCCAGTCCCCTCCCCCCTCCTTCACCTTCCCCCTTCTCCTTCCCATTCCATTTCCGTTTTCTTCTCCTTCCTTTTCCCCTTCCCCTTTCCCATCCCCCTTTCCCTTCCCCTTCCCTTCCCCTTCCCCTTCCCCTTCCCCTTCCCCTTCCCCTTCCCCTTCCCCTTCCCCTTCCCCTTCCCGTCCCCTTCCTCTCCCCCTTCCCCTTCCCCATCCCAGTCCCCTTTCCCTCCCCCCCTTCACCTTCCCCCTCCCCCTTCCCATTCCCTTTTCCGTTTTCTTCTTCCTTTTCCCTTCCTTCCCCTTCCCCTTCCCCGTCCCAGTCCCCTTCCCCCTTCACCTTCCCCCACCCCCACCCCCTTCCCATTCCTTTCCCGTTTTCTTCCCCTTCCCTTCCCTTCCCTTCCCTTCCCTTCCCTTCCCTTCCCTTCCCTTCCCTTCCCTTTCCCTGCCCCTTTCCCTTATAGTGCCCCAACCCTCTTCCTTTCCCCACTTACTAATACCCTTTCCCTTCCCTTTTCTTTTCACTGCCCTTCTTCCTTCCTCCCCTGCATTCCATGTCTCTCTTACCTTTACCAATAACCATCCTCCCCTTTGCCTCCGCAGGTGCGACAAGCGGCATGGGAGCGTTGGCTCCGCTCAGCTTCTCGTTGTCTTCGCTATCGGGGTCGTCTAGCCCAGCGCTAGAGTCCGTCAGCCCCGCGAGGACTCCCGCAGAACTACATACCAACTCTCTCAACCGGCGCAGGTCCAAGTAAGTATTGGCATTTTTTCTTGTTCTTCTTGTTCTTCTTCATCTTTTGGTATTTTATTTTAAGAGGGTGACTTCCATTGTATTTGGGATGCCGCTTTGTCTCTTTCGTCGAAGGTCAGTATGTTGTGTGTTTGGTAATCCAGATTCATGCCTCGTTTGTTAAATTATCATGAAGACCTATGTAAGCCTCTGTGGAAGTTCATCTCATGGTAGAAGCCAAGTGTTATGGTCGTGCTGATCAGCTGATTGTGGGATGTAGTTGGAACATGATTCTTACAACGCTAATCATGAAGTCTAATCCGGAAGTAAGCTAAACGTCTGCATTCTTATAGAGTGCTAGCCAAAATCCCGATCCTTCCTTTGCATCAGGGCAATTTTGCGTTTTGTTCTCACCTTATAGCCATGATTTCATCGACGCCTTGACTTCGCCAACGCCGCAGAGGATCCCATTGCGTGTTAATGGCTACCGCAAATCCACATACAATTTGGCTGATATCGCGCGGCGACTTGCTCAAGCCAAGTGGCGCAAGTGGTTTTGCTTATTTAGGGAACCTTAAGCCAGATGTCGTAACTGTTTAATGACTAGCGTGCCGCATATGTGAGCGTGCCATCGTAAAATAATAATGCGTCGTCTCCGCCGTCGATTTGTTGTGTCTGAAGAAGGTGGCAGCAGGAACTTGTAAGGTGACATGAGCGGTGACGATGCCGAGAGACCGTAAGTCGGCATTATCATAACGGCGAGACGCGGATGTTACGGGCTGTGGCGAGCGGAGCCGATTCACCTGGGCTCTCGCGTCTTGGGATACCGCCGGCGCCCACCTAGGGAACAGAAGGCGAATTCGCGTGTGCTTGTTTATTCGATTTTAAGAAGTATATATTTTCTGGACCTCTTTTTTATATTCAGACCGTAACAAGATTTAACCATCCTTTTACTCCTCTCTTTTTGGCTTGTGTTCTATGTTTCGCTTCTTGTATGTCGCTTGTTCCCTTCCATCATCATCATCTTCACATTCTTCCCCTTTCATTCCATACCAGCTTTACCTTCTCCCACCTTCCTTCCATATCAACTTTCCCTTCCTCCCCCACGCTTTCTTGTACCTGCATCTTATCCCCCGTTTCCCATCTTCACCCTCATCTCCCATTCCTCTCCGTGAAGCAACTCGCTCCGTCCGCGGGTTTGGAAACGTCGGCGCTTGTAAGACTCGCGCTCCTGTCGGAACTCAAGGGACAAAGTTTGTTGACACGCGTCCGGGAACTTTTACTCGTCCAAGGCTGCCTCCCTCACCTTCAAGACTGGCTGAGTGGGCGTCGGTTAAGGGCCGTGTGCTCTGTTGTTGCCGGAGTGGAGGGCTGGGCTGTGCGGGTGGGCGTTATGCTCTTGTTATTGCTCTTGTTTGTTTGTTTTCGTTGCCTCCTCTATCTTCTGCTCTTCTTCATCTTCCTCACCATCTCCTCTCCTCTGTCCTTCGTCATCATCGTCATCGTCCTCCTTTTCCTCTTCCTCCTCCCTCTCCTCCTCTCCTTCCTCCTATTCCTACTCCTCCCCACCTCCTTCTCCTCCTTTTCCTCCTTCGCAGTGTATAGGAGGAAGAAAAGTTTGTCGATGTAGCTTGCATTTTTTTCTGGGATGATTCACTCTTACTGCAATCCCTCCCCTACGTGCTGTCGAAGGGTGTGGCGATATGGGTTTTACTTTTTTTCTTCTTGCTTCATCTTCTTCTTCTTCTTCTTCTTTCTCATTAACCTTCTTCTCCTCCCTCTCCGTTTTCCTTTCCTTTTCCTTTTGATTTTCATTCTCCTTATTTTGATCCTTCTGTTGCTTCCCCATCTCCTTCCCCTTCCCCTTCTCCTTCTCCTTCTCCTTCTCCCTCTCCCTCTCCCTCTCCCTCTCCCTCTCCCTCTCCCTCTCCCTCTCCCTCTCCCTCTCCCTCTCCCTCTCCCTCTCCCTCTCCCTCTCCCTCTCCCTCTCCCTCTCCCTCCCCTCCCCCTCCCCCTCCCCTTCTCCCTCTCCCTCTCTTCCAATATCAGCGTCGCCGTGAAAGTGTTGCCAGACCTTGTGGGAGATTTGCTCTTGTTTCCCTGCGTCATGTTGCCTTGATTGCGCTGCGGCTGAAAGGCCTGGATGGTGAGGTGATGGTAGGGATGGGTCGGTTGATAGTGACAATGGCAGTGGTAATAATGAAAGCAAGTGGTGATGATATTAATGAGAGGGATAGATAATAAGCAATGCAGTGATAATCTTTAATGTTTTTTTTCATGGTTAGGCAGATTAGAATAACAAAGTCGAGAGTTGCAATGGCAGTAATATAGCATCGTTACCGCTAATCGCCCCGTTCGTGATTATAGTGCCGGTGGCGGGAGCAGCGGCTTCTCTGATGAAAGGAAGTGCTCGCGCAAGTTGTGGTCGAGGGAATTTTTAAGTCTTGGGAATCCTCTTAGGTTATGACTAATGAGTTTGATTTTCGAATGGCGTTTTTTTTTCTTTTTTTCATGTTGTTTGTTTATTTATTTTGTGTATGCATTTCGTTGATAAGTTTGTGACTGAGTTTTATGTTAGCTGCAGCGTTGCGTGCGCGGGAGGGTGTGTGTGTGTGTGTGTGATGTCGGCGAGGGGAGGCAGTACCATAAGGCACATAAAAGGAAGGGAAAAAGTCAAGGTCAGACTCTGGGATTAGGTCTTTTTTTTCGTTTCATATTTTGCTCAGTGGTGCTTGCTCTTGTCTTGACCTTGACATTGCTTAATAATAAGAAAAAAAAAGACTTAATATCGAAAAGCAGATTGAATGAAAAGAAAGAAAAGAAGAGAGATTTAATTTCGGCGAATTCCGTGGTAAGAAGTAATATTCATCTCAGTCAGACGTTACGTGACGCATAAAACCCAATCTTAATGAAAAGAATAGAAGATTGGAAGAAAAACCTAGGCCTTTTTTTAGGCTGTCAGTGTTCGTGAGGTGGCGTGACCGCAGGCGCAGTCAGAGTCGGATGCGGCGGCGGCGGCGGCCAGCGGTCTCACTGCAGCACCGCCTTGCCCCTCCACCCCCCTCCCCCTCCCCACTGCCAGGCAGTACCTTCCCCTTCCCCCTTCCACTCCTCCCTTCTCCCTTGTTCCTCTTCCCTTCTCCATTTTCCCTTCGGCTTTTTCCCTTTTCCCTTTTACCTTATTAAATCTCTAATTCATCGCCCATCCATAACTCCTCATCTCCCTTCCCCCTTCCCCCTTCCCCCTTCCCCCTTCCCCCTTCCCCCTTCCCCCTTCCCCCTTCCCCCTTCCCCCTTCCCACTTCCCACTTATCCCTGCCACCTCCGATTCCCCTTCCTTGCACCCCCTACTCTTTTCCCCTTCTCAGCAGCCTCCCACTCACCCTCCCTCCCCTCCCCCCATCCAGAGAGGGGGATGGGAGTGCGAGTATCCCCCCCCCCCTTCTCTCTCCCTCACCAGTCCGCCCCCCACCCCCCAGCCTTCAGCCGACGTCCACCTGCCGCAGGACGCAACAGGGGGTGACAAGGGGAGGGGGGAGGAGAAATGCATCAGTAGAAAAGAATATGTGGGCAGAGGCGTAGTGGTTGATAAAGATGGAAGAAGGGAGGATGGATGTAATTGGTTGGGAGAAAGCATTGTTCGTACGATTATTGTACCAAGGGTTGTATTCGGTGGATTTGTATGTTGTGCACCGGGGTCTGCTATAACGTCGCTGTATGATGTATGGTGTTGTATCGGTTGGTGCTTTGGACGGATGATTGGAATAGAATAAATAAAGCGGATAAACGACAAAAGAAGAAAGGACGGATCACACTAGGAATAAAGATGAATTAATCCAGACGAGATGTGAATGAAATGAACAAATAAATTAAGGCATTGTCTTTGATATTTATTTAATTGCTACAATTATCATTTGATATATGTTATCACGAAACGAAAGAAGGAAGAAAGGTTCTATTCGCGTGTCTAACACTGCAGCGCTACGAGACAGTATAATGAATGGAGATTGGATTGTTTACATAAAAAAAACGGGTGACATAGATTTAACTTTACTTTTTAATGCAAAAGATGCATTTGCCAAGGCCATGGTGATTGGTTGAATGCATTATATCCGAGTTGTAGTGTAAATAATTGTCATCACCAGTTTCCCAGTTACCAAATGATTAGGATCACCAACCTGTCAAGTCCATCTTAACCTCGATTTAGAACAAAAATCAGCAGAGGAGAATTTGCGTTCAATTGAATGCGAATTGGCCGGTCGCTTGATTGCCTGGTGAAATGGCGATTAAACATCCTCGTTTACCTGGCAAACTGACTGTCAGTTGCAGGATCCGGGAAAGCCTGTGTAGTTCAACCTTCCATAACGGGTGTGAGTAAAGCCTGTGCGGTGGTGGCGCATGTGTGTGTGTGTGTGTGTGTGTGTGTGTGTGTGTGTGTGTGTGTGTGTGTGTGTGTGTGTGTGTGTGTGTGTGTGTGTGTGTGTGTGTGTGTGTGTGTTCAGTTGTGTATACATGAATTTGTCTTCGCGTGTTTGTCCTGAACCCACGCTGTCCTTGGTCAAAATGAGTTCGCAAATAAAAGAACAGATGGATGCTATGACGCAGACGCTGTAATTCTCCCGGGCTTAGTAACATTTTCTCGCGGCGACAGCGACATCGTCGATTAATTAAGGCAGAGCATAAAGACCGCAGTGAGAGTGCCTCGCGCTCACTCACTCGAACGCAAACTATTAGAAATTGTGAAAATGGAAGTGAAAGAGAACAAAGGGAAAGGCCCTTAATCATCTCGGGTAACAGTCTTTCATCTCGGAACCATCATAATCGTTTCTGTTAGTACCGACAAGCATGGCGAAACCTCATCCCGTCGTGAGGCTGTGGCTTGGGCAGCTCACGTGCAGGGCGGAGTGTCTCGTGATGCCCGGGTAGCCACGTGATTACTGGCACGTGCACTCAGAGGGACTTAGACCAGTATCAGCGATGCGATCGGGCTGTCCGTCGTCTTCCGGAGGCCGATGGTGACG